AAAAACGCACTGCTTTGGGATAGTGTTTTTTTGTCTTTTAAGATTTTTGCGTAGTACTGACAGTCGAATAGTAGTAAGGTTTCCGCCCAGGATTAACTTTTGACCTTTAGCCCTTCATTTTCCCATAGATGGCCTTTCAATACTCTCCTCCATCACATCATGTGTAGTTAGACTAGCTTGTTTCGGAAAATGCAACAGTGATTTCCACTGAAAATGCAAAAGATCAGTTTTCACGGAAAATGCAACAACAACATATTCCATTCGGCCCAAGCGAAAGTGTAAACAAAAAACAAATGACCTTCTCTGCCAGTCTTGCTTTTCTTCTAATTGCTGAATATGTAATGAAAAGGTTCCTTTCCTTTGAGTGATATGCTTCCTTTGTTGCCAGCAAAAGCAAACAACAGCTGCCTCAACAGCACGCTGGAAAGCTAACGCTGATGATGCTCTTGCTATCTTGTGGGTCAGGGGTCACCAGAACGTGCTGCTCAGCCACGCAGTGCATCATGATGCCCTCACTCACAGAAATATCGCTGAGAGAGTATTGCTGTGTGTTACATCTCCACAGCACGCATTCTCATGTGTAATCTCCTGATGTGAATTTTTCAACCTTAGAGCCAAAACTAGACTTGAATGATGGTTAAATGCCATGCAAATTTGGCATTACACAATTTTCAACAAGACTAGATGAATCTAGGGATGTAACGGCAGCTGCTCTAAACAAGGTATTCACGTGTTTCTGTGTTCAAGTGCTTCAGGGAAACCTTCAAGACCAGGTGCAGTTGGCAAATACTAGTCTGAGACAAAAAAAAAACAACAACTGAAGGCTGCAACTCCATCTGAAATGTACAGAGACATAGTGTTCAAGCCTTGCACCTACCGCCAAGCCAAACTAACCTCCCCCTGACCTAGATGAAACTTGCAACAGGGGCCTTGAAACAGCAACGCTGTTAAAATGTAAAGTTTCTTTAAAAACAGTCACCTTAGCCTGGCAAAGACAAGGCTGCGTGAGAGCGGGTGTATATCTATGCCAGGACAGGGGAGGGGGAGTGGTCTGCTGCATTAGGAAATGGGGAAGGCATGGAGTAAGTGAGCATACGGATGTCATAAAAGCCCAAGCTGATTCCAGAAACCCCTGGGCCCTTCTAGCCAAAGCAACCTCTATCTGGTATGCGAATGAAAAGAGGCAAGACTAAGGTTCAATACACCGGAGGTGAGTCACGGAAATAAAAGCCCACAGGGACATGCATTGCACAGTATAGCCAATGAATGAATCATTGCTGCTGGCACACTGTGGAATGACCCACTGCTCCGCACACAATTGGCTCCTTTAATAAGAAATAATAATAATAAATCGTTAAAGATCAGAGAAGAGATGAAGACTCTCTGAAGAAAGAGAGAGAGAAAGACACTTTCTTGTGTTGCCATTTCAGTACTTTAAATTTCTAAAGTTTTCATTGAAGTTTTATTACTTCCCGACATTGCAAACATTTGTGGATTGAAGATCATTATGGTTCTTTAAAGTTTCGGTGTGCGGGAAGAGAGGTGTGTGAATGGCTTTCTTGGAAGTTGTCATTAATTAAAAGCAGTGGTGGTTTTTGGAGTGAGAGTGCATGAGTGTAGTCGGAGACCCGGGCACAGTGACAACTCCTCCCTCCACTGGCCCACAGGAAACACCTTAATCTGGTGGGGTGTGCGGCTTCAACCAGTCAAAGCAAAGCCAGGCTAACAGACACATCCCCACCCGAACTCTGCTCCTGCAGGTGTGCGCACACACTATTCCTACATTTTAGTTGGTCTGAGGCTACGTCCACACGAAGCCAGAGCTTTCCCTATCCGATCTTTTTTTTCCCCTCGTCTCAAGAAATATCTGCGTCCACACGAAACCGACACAAAACGATGTAGTATACATGCCAGACCAGCATGTGGCGCTGTAATTCTGCCACAGAGATACACTAAAAACAGAGAAGACTTGGACTATGCGCATAAACCTTGCGCGCGGTATACAAGCGAACATTGAACATGTCTGACTAGGGGCGAGACGTGGGCTGATGACGTCATCGTTTCAGAAAATATACGGATTCGCTGTCCACACGAAAACGCAAGGGCGGCGTTTTCAGATTAATCCACTCTGGGACCCGGTTTCAAAAAATATCGGTTTAACTCTCCCAAAATGCCGGATCCGTCTGGACGAAACGCCTATACGATACAAAATTTATGCGTATACAGCTAAACACGTCTCCATGTGGATGGGACCTGAGAGGAGATCAGCCAAATAAATGCCTTGAATGGAAAATTAACATTTCTTCAAAGAAATTACTTAAATATGGCATCCCTGTGCACTTTCCTGTCGTCACAAATTTTAGGGGGAGTGTTCACCACCTGGTAGGGGACCGTATAACAAAGAGTGAAAAATTTAAGGGGGTCTGAATACTTTCCGTACCCACTGTATATATATTTCAGCCTGATATTTTCACAAAGCCCCTTTCAGAGCGACAGTAGCAGGCTTCCACCAGAAAGGGAAATGACCCCCCTTTTTCTCACTCGCTCTCTACAGCAGCCAAAAGGCAGGTGCACAAGCCCAGCTGAAACCTCAAATTCCTGCCTACCAGTTTTCCACTGTCAGCTCTTTCTGTAGGTGTGTGACCACCTTTGTCCTACACACACACACACTTGGTTATTTTTGTGAGCTAGTGATGGGGTGTGAGCACAAAAAGAACATGGAAAACGGAAGGAAACAGAGCAAGAAAGAGGCAGAGATGTGACTAGGTGATCTCATTACAGCGGTCACCCCATCTGTGTTAGTGTCAGAGATATCGCAGCTGGGGGGCACACAATGGAAAGTCCACATAGTCACAGAATGCAGTCATTTTTTAAAGCTACCATTCACCGATTCAAACTAATTACGATCATGATTTATGGCAAAACTGAACAAACAAAGGGGGTCAATTTAAATGACAAAAGTGAAAAGATTTTCCTTAAATTTCTACAACAGTAAACTAGCCCAGTATGCTTCACAATAAAAGCAAAACAAATACATTTTTAAAAAATTAAAAAAACATTTTTACAAATAAATTGTAAGATATCATTTTATAATTTCAAAATATTATTATATTTTCTAAATAAACTTTTAATGAAAGATGAAAAGGGAAATGTGAGAAAAAAGAAAGTGACCAGGATGTAGGATGGGAAGGATGAGAAAGAATGAGAAGGAGTGAGTGGCAATGCAGCGCTGCAGAGCTGCGCAAGTCTGAACAAAGAAAACTATACATCCATAGGTAAAGCCTATGGCAATCGGCGACCAAGCAGTCCATTGTTTAGGAAACAAATATAAATGGCAACATGCAGCTCAGAACATCATCTCCAGAGGTCATTGTTCTGCAGCCGTGCTCTTGTGCACAGTAACAAAAAGATATGTTCAAACTTCTGGTTCTACAGGTGATGGAGCAGATAAAGCGACGGTACTTTGAAAGACAACACAAACATAGACTGACACCACACACACGCACACAAAAAAAAAAAGTTTAGTTTAGGGTTTGTATGTACAAATTAGGGGGTGCATTAGCATGAGAAAAAGCATGTGACAGAGAGTGATGACAGTGGCGTTGAGGGGAGCAGCAGGCGAGGGCTGCCACGTCCCGATCCAGGGGGAATGAATTAAAAGTGTCACCAAGCACATGGGTGGTTTAAATAGTCCATCAGGGACGCTCACAATCACATGTGAAACCATATGTGCTCTGTGCACATATTATCATGATGCACCATCCGCTCCTAATGAATGACTAAAAGACAATCCTTGCAGCTGAACTCTTAAAACAGCCTCAAATTCCTTTTTAATAAAATAAAATCACAAAACAAGAAAAATGAAGTACAACTATCAAGGATTACACGTCCTGGAAAAAGCATGGTTCTTACGTTAATTCATGTTGACAACCGCACATGTTTCCATCCATACAAAATCCAGGACACTTCCCACACAATAGGACAAACACTAATTGTCATTGTGCTCCCCTGACAGTCTGTTCAGAGCGTCACAATAGCCATTAAGACAGAAAAGACGAAAGCAAAGACAGTGAC